ACAAGCTTAAAAATATGCATAGAAATGGTAGCAACGACTTCAATATTTTAGCAATCGCATCCTAAGAATACAAAGTTACCAACAACGGTAAACCGTTCGGCCACCAAAAAGCGTGGGAAGTTTGTTGTAATGGTCCAAAATGGGTTCTATATCCGGAAATGGCGCATTCGGGTTCTACAACGGGTTCCAACAAAAGGGCAAGAACATCCGAGTCGGACGTGGGTTTTGGACTCGACCTCAACGGTAACTTCGACGCTTCTGAGGGGGAGGGCCCACCGAACGTCCAACTTCGTCGACCACCGGGACGGGACAAAGCGAGAAAATGAGCGTCTTCAAGCGGAAAAGCACCGGCAACTAGCGATAGCGAGCTTGCGACATCCATAGATAAAGCTGTAGTTTTTCTAGAAAAAAAAATATGAATTGTCGGAGGCCGCTAACCGCCAAAAAATAGCTCTTACCGATCTTCAAATCATAAACATGAAGCCCCAATCGGATCTTCACCCAGAAAATCTTGCAACATTTCTTAGAATTCAACGACATGTCCCAGAAAAATATGAACGTTAGGTTCTAATCTTAATGGTTTTAAGAAATTTAGGATTTTATTTATGGTTTTAAGTAATTTATGATTTTAATTTTTTTATGTTTTTTTTTAAGAATTTTAGAATTTTAATTTGTGTTTTTTATATTAATGTAATGTGTTTTTAATTTTAATGTAATGTATGTTTTTGTTTTTAATTTGTGTTTTTTATATTAATTATGGTTTTATTTTAAATTATGGTTTGTAATTTGTTTTTTATTTAATATAATGTTAAAAAATAAAAAAATAATAAAAAAAAAAAAAAGGAATTTGTGTAGTGGTAACCATTTCCAAGGTTTAGTGGGTTGGTGGTTGGTTTGGTGTGAAGTTGACGTGGTGCATAGGTGGCAGCACTTTTCCGATGGAGTGAGTGTGACCACTCCATATAGCCATAATGATCAGACATTTAAGTCACTTTGATTAAACTAAAGTGGGTATGTGATGGAACGTGGCTATCATTAAAACCAAGTGAAATTTTGATAAACCTATTTGTTTCAATAAAACATTGAATTCTCTTTGGGGGAGATCTTCTACATAACGAGTTTCCCTAAGGCTATCAGGAGTGGAGAGATCTCCATGCGTGAAATGCTTACGTGGACGGTCTCTCCACGCGTGAACATCGCCCCTGGGTTCAGCGGGTTGGTCGTGGCGTGGCTCCCAGGACGGACGAAGACGCTTACATTGATTGAATATTTAATTTTTCAACCGTCGGGTTATTAAGTTAAAAAAAAAAAAAAAAAAAAAAAAAAAAACTTTTTCCTTTAATTTACTTTCTCTATCTATATATACATCCACTTATACATAATTTTTTTAAAACATTCATACAAATTCTCTGAAATCAAACATACAAATTCAACCAAAAAATGGATAGCGATTCTGATGACAATTTGGTTTTGCACACACTATTGTCTGTGGCCCAAGACATGATTCGTCAGAGAGGCGAAACTTTACATCACAAGAAGAAACATAGAAAATATATCAATCGGGATCGAGAGGTGGCACATGAACTTTTGGTACGTGATTATTTTGCCTCTGATAGTCTTTATGACCTTTCGAAATTCGAAGACCGTTTTCGTATTAGTAAAAAATTATTTTTACGTATAGCTTCAGATTTGGAACGTAATTATGAGTTTTTCCAATTACGTTGGGATGCTAGAGGTAAACGCGGTTTACCACAATACAAAAATGTACAGTCGCTCTTAGACAATTGGGATATGGTATAACCGCAGACGCATCAGATGAGTATCTGAAAATGTCTAAAAGGACGGGTCGAGATTGTACATATCTTTTCTGTGAGTATGTTATAGAGCTCCGTGACATATACTTGCGACATCCGACTAAAAGTGATGTCGAACAGTTGTATGCCGCGCATGAAGCTAAACATGGTTTTCCAGGGATGCTTCGTAGTATTGATTGTACACATTGGGAGTATTGTCCCGATGCGTGGCATGGTCAATTCACACAAGGAGATCATGGGGTCCCGACTGTTATACTGGAGGCGGCTGTTTCAAATGACCTATGGTTTTGGCATGCATTCTTTGGTATGGCGGGATCAAACAATGACCTGAATGTGCTTCACGTGTCTCCGATATTTAACGATATTTTGTAGGGTAAAGCACCAGATATGTCATACATTGTGAATGGGAATGAATGCAAGTATGGATATTACCTAGGTGATGGGATATATCCAGAGTATGCTACATTTGTTAAGTCTTTTTCGTTTCCAGCCGATGAGAAAAGAAAATTGTTCAAGTTAGCACAAGAATCTGCACGGAGGTACGTTGAAAGAGCGTTTTGAGTCCTAAAACAAAGGTGGCACATAATCAAGCATCCAGCACGAACATGGGATAAGGAAAAACTAACGACAGTGTTGACTGCGTGTATGATTTTACATAACATGATAATAGAAGAAGATGGCAGAGCTATTTGTTCATATATTGACAACGATGCACTTAACCCACCTGCAGTAATACACGTTGGCAGCCCGACATACTTCTCTAGGGTTTTGGAAATACAAAATCGTGAAACACATCACAATCTACAACACGATTTGACCGAGCACATATGGGGGAGACAACACCAAGGGGGAAATTACGATGAAGACGAAGAGGATGAGGGCGATGATTACGACGAGAATGCAGATGGTGACGACAAGGCGGATGAGGATGATGATGACGACGACGAGTAGTACTGTTCTACGGTTTTTATGTTTTACTTTTTTTTTTAAATTAAGTAGTGTAGTCGTTGATTTGTTAGGTTTTATGTGTGTTTTAGTAATTTTAGGTTTTAAATTTCTATATTTTTAATTAATGATGATGATGACGAGTAATACTGTTCTACGGTTTTTATGTTTTACTTTTTTTTTTTTTTTTTTTTTTTAAAAATTAAGTAGTGTAGTAGTTGATTTGTTAGGTTTTATGTGTGTTTTAGTAATTTTAGGTTTTAAATTTCTATGTTTTTAACTAATGAAAAAGTTTTTTTTTTTTTTTTTAGTATTTTAAAAAAAATTATTTATCTTCTAAATTAAGTTTTTTATTTCATATAGTGTTACAAAAAATTAAAAAAAAAAAACTTACCTATTTTAAAAATTATGTTATTTATTTAACAAAATGTTATAATAATAATAATAATAATAAAAGTAAATGTTGTTAGTGGTGACCATTTCCATAGTGCAGTGGTTTGGTGGTGAAGGTGATGTAGCGCAGAGGTGACACCACTTTTCCGATGAATTTATAGTGACCACTCTACATAACCTAACAAACTCGTAGTGAACAAATCATTCAGGGCCCAATGACCATCTCCAATGATCCATGAAAGCTGAAACAATAAAAGAAGATAGAGGAAGCAATTTGACTAAAGTGGAAATTTTTTTATGTGTTTATGGGATTCTTTTAATCGTTTTGAGTGCCATTTCACATGAACAGATCCCGAATTCGACATAGCCACCAACTTCGAAATGTGGAATTCGAGATAATCATTTTGTTTGTGGGATTCTTTTAATCTTTTAATCATTGTGGTTAGCCAAGCCTACAAGTCCTACTAGAAACATAAGCTTCACCGACGGAATTAGCTACGGATTATATCCGTAGCTAATTAGCGACGGATTACCGAGGGATTAGCAACGAAACACACAAATATTTTGACCAAAATACTTATAGACTTTTAGAGAGGTATTACCGAGGGATCAACAACTGAATTGCAAGAATTTATCAACAAAATCGCTCCTCGCTAATCCGTCGCAAATTAAAACATTTTAGTGAGGGAACAACGACGGACTTATAAAATCACAAGCCTTTTTTTCCCATCCCTTGCCAATCTCTCACAGAAATGGACGCCTCCTTTTTTTCATTCCCCGCTTTTCTTTCTTTTTTCTTTTTATCGTTTTATTTTCATTCCCAAACTCTAAACAATTTTCTCCAAAAGCCCTAATCGACCTCTGTCGACTCAAATTCCTCCTCCGCCCGGAAAATCACCTCCACCACTGTCCACCTGCGTCGTCCCTCTTTGAAATATACTTGAAAAGTATAGGAAAACCTCATAAGTCACATCATCTCTTGCTTTCCTCTCAGTCCATATGATTTCCTCGTCGACTCGTCGTTTCTTGCAACAACAATTGGTCTATTGGTTCATCATTTATTGTAAACTCTAGCTTTCATCACCTTCCTAGTCCGGTTTCTGGTTGTCTATAAGTTCTATTTTTCATGTAGCTCTCTTTCTTCTCTTACCTTTTAGATCAAATCAGAACTCATTTTTCTAAGCTCTGCCTTCCATAACTCCTTAATTTTGATTTTCCAAGGGTTTTCTTGTTATTGACGTACATTTTGTTTTTACTATTACAATTTAATAATCTCACAGGATGAGTTCGTATGATATGAATTTGGTACCGGGTGTAGGCATTTGACAAGGGGCTTGATATCAAAACAACAAGAATATATGGAGTGGCCAGAAGATGTGTTGCCGGAGCAATTAACAACTACACCACTCAGCTACTAGACTATGGCAAACAAACATCTCAGTGTAATTAATTTCACAAATTTCTTCATCTGATTCTTTGCTTCTAGATTTTATCAACTTTGAAGAGGAAAAACATTATTATATATTTGCTAGATAATCTCACAGAAGCGCTGCTCTTTCTTTCTCATTTCATGGGAGATATTCACCAAGTATGTGATAGTAACCAATTTGACTTTATTATCTAACAAGTTAAAAGACTAAGTTGCCCCTGTCATGTAAGATTCACTTCGGATAGAAGTGGGAACACGATTAATGTTCATTGGTTCACAAGAAAATCAGTACTTCATCATGTAAAACTCCTAAAATAGTTACCATTATGTAATCTAAATCAAAGAGTCTGTTTTAACTTGAAATAAAGTTTCTCACCGATCACACCATCTTCATTTTGATTGTAGTAGCTTTCAAATCCATGGAGGATCACAGAAAACAGATGCAACTTAAAGAAGCCCGAAAAGTTGGGCGTGCTCCTGCAGAAGTTGATGAAGATGGACAAGAAATTAATCCATATATTCCTCAGTATATGTCATCTGCTCCTTGGTATCTCAATGCAGAGAGACCTATACGCCTTTTCCATTTTCTTTTTCTTGCATTCTCATTAATCATGTCACCATATAACTAAAAGTAAAACCATTTTTTATGTGTCCTGAAGCGTTTAAAGCATCAAAGGAAATGGAAGTCAGATCCTAATTACACAAAGTCATGATATGACAGAGGAGCAAAAATATATCAAGCTGATAAGTAGAGAAAGGGTGCATGCGAAAAGTAAGCAACTTTTGTTTTACTTTTCTAGTTTTTATAACTTGATTGCTAAATTTGTTAATTGTTTTAAGTTGTGGAGCTATGACTAACACAACCAAGACACGCATGGAGAGGCCACGTAAGCTAGGGGCAAAATGGACAAGTAAAAACATAGCACCTAATGAGAAAATAGAGACTTTTCAGCTTGATTATGATGGAAAAAGAGACAGGTGGAATGGGTATGATCCAACATCTTATGCTCATGTGATTGAACGATATGAAGCTTGTGATGAAGCTAGGAAGAAATTCTTGAAAGATCAACAAACTAAGAAGTTGGAGGAAAAGGGTAACACTCAAAATGTGGAAGAAGCTGTTAGTGATGATGAAGATAATGAAGAAACTTCGGTCTTGGAGACCCTCTCATAGATTTAAACACTAACATTATTGCATTAAAGAACTACATGGATGTTCAGTATTATGGTGAGATTGGTATTGGAACTCCCTCTCAAAAGTTCACTGTGATCTTTGTTACTGGAAGTTCTAATCTATGGGTGCCTTCTTCAAAGTGCTACTTTTCAGTGAATTTTGACTTTTCTAATTCAAGATTTCTCTCAATCTATAGCTTCAATCATGTGCTTATAATTCTTGATATGGATACAGGTTGCTTGCCTTTTTCACTCAAACTACAAGGCGGTCCATTCAAGCACCTACAAGAAAAATGGTATAGTCTCTTTTGATTTATTCTCGATGGCATTTTTGTAATTAACTGTATTTTCTTCACATGTCAATTAGGGATATCTGCTGCTATTCAATATGGAACTGGAGCTATCACTAGTATCTTTAGCCAAGACTTTGTCCAACTTGGTGATCTTATTGTTAAAGAACACGTAAGAATTAAGAAATTTTGGTTTTTGATTCACTTAACTACTATTTTCTCATTATACTTTTTCTTTTAATCTATTTAATTTTTGAGGATTTTATAGAGGCATCACTCTCTTAGCAACCAAGTTTGATGGTATTCTTAGCCTTCGATTTCAAGAAATCTCTGTTGGAAAGGTGTTCCTGTGTGGTATTTTTCTTGCCCTGTTTCTTATTGACTTAATTGATACATAACTTAATCAGGACAAATATAAAGCAGTGTTTCTTTGAGTTATTTCTAATAGAGGTGGCTTAATATGTTAGCGTCATTTATAAATAAAGGGTAAATTGGTCATTTACTTAGATTCATATTGTTAATTAAAATATTTGCATACCCTTTTAGGTACAACATGGTAAATCAAGGTCGATGCTAATCATTTTAAGGGCAAACACACATATGTACCTGTGGCTCAAAAGGGTTATTTGCAGGTAACTATCTTATTATAACATATATATATATATATATATATATATATATATATATATATATATATATATATATATATATATAGTTCTTTATCTGAATTTCATTTTTCTTTTTGTTTTTAGTTTGATATGGGTGATGGCCTTATTGGAGATACAACTACTGGTAATCTCATGCTATTCTTGTTTTCAATTTCAGGATTTTGCAGTGATGGTTGTGCAACAATTGCGGATTCTAGAATCTCTTTGTTGGCAAGTCCAACGGTATGTTTTAAAAATTAAGTTTTTATAAATGAGAATTATAAAAAAAAAAAGAGAAGTTCTATGCTATGAGTAATAACCTCTATTGATTTATCTTTATTTATTTATTTATTTTTATAAATATTTTCTCAAAAATTAATATTATTATATGTTGTTGAATTGGAGTTCAAGCAACTTAACATACATGCGTGTGAAGCATTTGAGAAGGGCAATGATGTCCATATGCAAGCTGCTCCTTCACAAGCTGAATTGTTGTATAAGAATTTTAAAGTAAACAAAGAGAAGCTAAAATCTCAAGTGAAGGAGAAGTTGAATATGATCGTGCTGGAAGAATCATCAAAGGCCAGGTATTTTTATATTTTATATTTGCATTAAATTACAAATTTTGGTATGAATATAACTAAAAAACTATTGTTTTTATTGTAAAGTTATTTGGGCTTTAATACTATGCTCAATGAAATTCTTTTTAGGATTAGTCTCATAAAAGGCCTTACATTTTGCGTTTTTTTCCGGATCAAACCTCGAATTTATTATTTACCTTATATTACCTTGTTCATTCCATTCCTTTGTCCATTCCATTCAATCTAAGCAATGACCCTTAGAACATACATTAGATAAGGGCCCATGGCAAGACAAATTTGATGTCTATGTTTAAGAGATTACAAATTTGATGTTTATGTTTGTGTATTTGCGTTTTGGTTGGAATCAGAATTTAATTCCATTCCAGTCCTCCATTTGGTTTCAAATGAGTAGACACTAATCTCTTTTTCATCACCAGAAAATCATTGCTTCCAACAAAGACCCTGAATCTAGCAAAAAGCATGAAGACATCAAGCAACCAAGTCTCCTTCGATTGCTGGAAAAACTAAGTGGAAATTGGTTCTCCCAATTCCATGGGATTGAACGGGAATTGGAATCCAATTTCATTTTGATCATTCTTTTGGATGCAAGATATCAAACAATGGTGAAGGTGTATGCGGAAATGAAAAATATGAGAGGAAATTTAGAATTACGGTACATTATACTTTGAAATCAAATATCAATCGATGTTAAACATTGATATTTGATGTTTATAGATGTTTTGGTAAACTTTGATGGTTAGATTCTTTTTGTATTTTAATGTTAAAGTTAAATTTTTGGTTTTGGAATGTATAATTATTGGATGTTTTTTGTATCTAAATGTTAATATTTGTTTTGGGATTATATAATTATTTGATTTTTTGGTATTATTTTGTTTTAGATTCAAAAGAAACAAAATCATGATATTATGTATTTGCAAGGGAATAGCTGCGGAAAGAAAAAAAAAATGACATCTTAAATCTGCAAGAGATCAGCGACGGAAAGAAAAAGAAAATCACATCTAAAGTTTGAGAGGAATTAGTGATGGATTAAAAAAACAGATATAGAGGTTTGCAAGGGATTAGCGACGAAATGTTGTTATTAGGTTTTGTCGACAATGTACTAAATAACAGGATTAAGTGCCATTTTGCTATGGATATTCTGTCGCTAAGGTCGTCGCGAGAGAAAACTAATCCGTTGCTAAATCCCTTGCTAAGTTATTAGCCACCCCTCTAATTCGCTATGGAGTATGTTTGTGGTTGATCCGTCACAAATAATATTTAGCGACGGATTTGTGACGGATTCGTTCGTCTCTAAAACTCATGTTTCTAGTAGTGAACGGATAAAGAAAGGGTGTAACAATCATGCGACCGTTTAACCAATAAAAATATTATATTTTTTTAAAGAAAACCAACTTTTACCTATAAATAATCCTATTTCACGCACGTTTTCACGCTGGAAATATCATTCATTTTTTATCAAAATTTATATAGTACTACACTGAAGAATGATAAAAAAAGAAAATTCATCTTCAACTTTATGTGATGATGATGACATGTTTTTCCACTCATTCCGAGAAACTATAATTACTTTGCGGGTAAAGAAGCTGGAAATTCTAACGTAATCACAATGACTGTAATTTCAATCAATTGGTTGCGTGTGATTTCACACACAAATTTGGTTAAGGTTGTAAAACAGGTAGGCCTTGCTAAATTGCCCACTAGCGATAACGGATTAATAGGTCTAGTTGGGAAATAATCGAAGACTCAGAAAATGTAAACTCGTTATTTTCGAATATTTAAATTCATTAATTTTTAAAAAAAATAAATATGACTAATATGTAAATTTCGTAAAATACTAATAATCATAAAAAAGAAATTAATATGATTAATATAACGCTATTCATTCCTCAATTAGTTGGTATTAAAAAAGAATTTCTTTAAAAAGTTAAAATTTCATCGGCTTTTACAACTTCACTCATTGTCTAGGCAGGAATGAGATTAATCCTAGATGCATTCTAGTAGGTTGTGTAGCGGCTATAAACTAATCAGATATTAATCGGGGCCTTTTGAGATTTTTACAACACTGCTTTTGGTACATTTTTACTTTTTCCATGATTGCATGTATGACCGTTACAAATTGAAACGTCGTTTATTAAATAGTAGATGCTTATTCCTATGTGTAGTTAATGATTTTGGAGATAATTACAAATTTTGAAAATTAAGATGGTTTATTAGAGGGAGATAGTGTTTTAGTCTGCTATAAAAGTTTGCATCTGTAGTTTAGTTTTGGCATGCGACATCACTACACATGCATCCCATGAGTATTTAAAGATATCTCAAAGAACAACCCAAAAATTTATATATTTATTTTGTGATTATGTTCTAATGTTGAAAATTTTACGATGCACATCAAGTTAAACAATGTTTCCCAAGTTAAACAATGTTTCCCATGGATGATTGATAACATTAATTGTGCACACTGGGAGTAGGAAAATTGTCCTATGGCCTAGTGAAGTCAATTCACACGAGCAGATAGTGGGGTGTCGACTATGATGCTGGAAGCAGTAGTTCAAACGATCTATGATTTTGCCATGCATTTTTTCATATGACGGGTCAAAATTTGATCTAAACTTTCTAGGTGTGTCTCTGATATTCAATGATATTCTCTAGGATGATGCTCATGATTTACTGTATGTTGTGAATGAAAATGAATACAAGTTTGGATACCACATTGGAAATGAGATATATCCAAAGTATGTTATATTGGGGAAATAATACTCATATCCATAGGATGGAAAAATAAAAATGTTAAAGTTAGCATAAAAATAGCCAAGAAAGGATCTCAAACTGGCTTTTGGAGTGCTTAATAACCAATGATACATACTAAAACACTTGGCATGATCTTGGGATAGGGAAAAATTAAATAATGTAATGATTGTTTTTGTTATTTTAAATAAAAAGATAATAGATGATAACGGTCATGCTATTTGTATGTATAATGCAAACGATTAACGTCATTCACCAACACAAATACATGTAGACATACTAGCATACCACGAGAGATTTTTTTGAAATGTAAAGTACAAAAACACATAAGAATCTTGATAGGGCACACATACTAGAGGAAACTGAACAATAACAATGAGGAAAAACTAATGATGATGAAGATGTAACATCGTATGAGGAGAACAATGACGACGATGATAACAACAACAAATAGTAGCTTTAATAAACTTAATGCAAAATTTTAAATTTTGTCTTCCTAAGATCGAAATATAGGATAGAGGATGAGAGGAAAACCAATTTATTTATGTGTGAATGTAGTGTTTGATTTTTCTAGGTGTTTGGACCTGATTTATAGTTAATATAAAACCTAATTTGAATAATAAGATAATAGTACTTTAGACCTATTCCAATTTTTTCCCTTACTAGCTTCAAGAGGCTGCCAGAACCCTTTTGGTTCATCCTCAAAATAATTCTAGGTATGGGGTTCTAGAATTGCATCTTTTGCTCAACTATTTAACTATTTAACAATTGCCATTCAACCCTCAACTATTTAACAATTGTCATTCAACCCTTGTACAATTACTTAATTCTATTTAATACACAATTAATTTCCAATTAATTCTAATTAATTCCTAACTAAATATTAACTATTTATAATTAATATATTAATCATATAATATATTAAAATATCAATTTCTCTTTCCTAACATCAATCCTAACTATTCTTGGTTATTAGGGCAACCCAAAAAGTACTTTACTTTTATTCACTAAGACTATACAAATTTAGTTCAGAATTTTGACAACTTAATCCAATGGTCTCCTACTTGGATAACTCGTCAAGTACAATTGCAAGTATAGACTTCAAATAACCAGTAAATAGTTATTTCCAAATCCTTTGCCAAACTCTATCAGATGCTAGCCCTAAGATAAGTGATCAACTATTCTTTCGTTTTCAATATCCAAGATTCAGTTTCTTGATTTTCGATTTATAATGATGTCATCAAAATACGAATTAAAAAAATCAATTTAGTCCAGGTTGGGCCCAATACTATAATGTTGACATCAATTCACTCAGGGTCCTAAAGGTATCACTTTTCCTTAATAGGAAAAATGAATGAATAAACTTTAACTCTATAATCATAACCTTTACTAATCATGACATACATGAAAGAACATTTTATAATATCTAGTTACAGTTAAGTCATTGCAAAACAAATATGTAATAGATTTGTAAAATACAACTTATACATCTCTATTTGAAGAATATAAGATATTATCATTTTAAAATTACTCATGATAGAATCCATGAAGTAATCTCTAAGTACGGGTTTTCCAATACTTAAAAGCCTTATTTTAAGCACCGATGAATATTGCAACAATCCCTATGCAATGTCTAATCACCATGGACAACCTAAAAAAATATTCCGTGACAATTTTAAATTAATAACCAATCTTAGAAGTATGACCGATTGTGCACTTTTGAATAAATTAATATCCAGGAAGTAAAAATACAAAGTGAAACACAAGAATAAAAAATTGAAGATAGTAGTCAATACCCATAAGCAACTCTCTATTATTTAATGACCAAAACCAAAACCAATTTACTTTGTCACATTTTCCAAAACTATCAACTAATTACTAAAACTTAACATCATCTCTTAATCCAATGCTCCTGGCATGTTCAAAGTGGTTGATGTTTCTTAACACCTTTGTCAAAGGATGAGCAGGATTATCTTATGATGATACATGATTCACCACAAGCTTGGCCTCTTCAACTGTATGTTAGATGTAATGGTATTTTATTTTAGTGCGCCTCGATCACCCGTTATCCTTTTGTTCTTTTTTCAAAGTAACTGCACATTCATTGTCACGGAAAATTTCCATGGGCTCTTGGATTGACGAAACAAATCCACGGTCTCCAATGAAATTCTTTAACTAGGTTGTTTCCTTTGTCGCCTTGCTAGTTGTAGTGTACTCTGACTCACAAGTAGACCCAGCCACCATGTGTTGCTTGGAACTTTTCCAAGTTACTGCTCCACCATTTGAAATGAATACCCACCCAGATTGTGAATAACTATTATTCTCGTATGTTTGAAAGATGGAATCACTATAACTATTCACTTCAAGTTCTTCTTTTTCACTGAAAACTAAATTCATATATTTCATTTTTCTGTAAATACTTAAGTATATTATTCACTGATGTTCAATGAGTTGTACTAGAATTTCCCTAATATTTGCTAGCCATGCTAAAGGTATAACCCACATCAGGGTGATACAAGTCATAACATACATGATCGATCCTATAGTCGAAGTATAAGAAACCCGACTCATTTAGCCTATTTCTCCATATTGAATCCTTTTAATATTTTATCCAAGTAAGTAATCGGGCTAAGAGCTAAGAAATGTCTTTTTCTATCCCCAAAAATACTTATTACAAGAATATATGTTGCTTCACCTAGATCCTTCATAGTGAAACATTTTCAAATACAAAACTTCACTTCTTGCAAAGTTGGAACATGGTT